AACGACACTCACGTTATGGGCAGCAGGCCAGTCAACAACTAAAATGAAAAAAAAAATTAAAATAGGGAAGGTTAAAAACGTACTACAGGTGAGTCGCATTCGTGACTTTACACGAGCAATACTAGCACAGTCCGTCGGAGGTAATTGGAACTTCATCCCGCTAGAGTTGTTGGAGTGACGTCTAAAATATTGCAAAAAATTGCGAAGTTCGAAAAAAATGATAAGGTTTGAAAGGCTTAATCTCGGAAACTATTGGGTCTACAGAGACAGTTCTAGTATCATATTGTAGTTTTTTCAAAAACTAGTCCTTTAGGGTTATAATCGCCAAAATTGGAAAAAAAAACGATTTTTTCGCGGTTTTTTCGATTTTTGACAAAGTTGCGTTCGGCGCTCGAGGTCACAAACTTGGATTATTCATTAGGCCAACATCATAAACAAGTCTGCAAAAAATCAGAACTACCGGATTTGACGCATACTACCCCATACTTTCAGGCGACAAAGTTACTGGATTACCGCTCATTTGCTAAACTTTGTCCATTACCTATTGAAGGTACGCGAGTGAATGAAGTGAATAGTAGCAATTAATGGTCTTACACATTAGGTACCTTTCCTCATATATGTATATTTATTGAGGTGTCGATTGTCAAAGGTTTCAATTCATTCGAATATGTACTTTACTCTTAGTTGTTCACTGCTGTAAACTTATATTCCATATTTGAAATGTTTAGGAATATTACTTGATTGAAGGTCTTCCAGATTCTTCAAGGCTGGGGGAATGTTCAGAATGTAGTAGTGCACCGTGATATTCCTAATTCAATTATCGTTGTTTAATTATGACAGTTGCTGTCAACCATTTTTCCACATGTATCGTTAATAAATTAAAAATATATATTTAAGAAATAATTGGTTATTAATACAAAGGGTCAGTAATAATCCATCAAACAGAGATCATTGGGGTCTCAACAGAAGGATTTCGGTTATTTTCAAAAAGTTGTGGGAAAAGATAAAGTTATTGTACCGCTTTTTTATATAAACATTATTTTAAACGAAAATAATTCATTTACCGTTTTACTACAAATTGATAGTTTGTAAAGTCAAAATGTTTGTTATGTTACTATGTGAATATTAATTTTCAAGTTTAATTTAATGATAATATACTATATATTATCATTAATATTAAGATAGTTCCTTCGAAGAAAATTTAAGCTTAAGACACGTACGCAAATTTTTAGTTCAATAGTTAAAGCAGTTCTGAATAACATATTTAAATTTTAAATCGATTGACCATTTCGTTTTTTAGAAATTAATTTTCAATGTTTGAAGAATTAACACGTAGGAGATAGGGATTCGTTATATTTCTCATAAGCCGTTTACGCACAAATTTTTGTATGCGTAGAATATTTTTTTTTTTATTTTTTCCGTATAAAAAAATATAATTGACCATTTAGTATGAGAGTTATTAATTTTTTAAAACATCAATAATGAATAAATTCGCTTGAATGGGGACTAAATTGAGAAAAATGAGCGTGAAACTTGATGCTTGGAGGTTTGGTAATATTAAAGAATTCTTATCTGATAGGAATTGTAGAATTACACTGGACTTTTCTAATCCACACACACACACACATACATGTTCTCTCTCTCTCTTTGTCCCCGTCTTACCAACTGAATTACCTTGAAATTCCTTAGTAAAAATGTTTTGTCTAGATTTACCCTAGATTAAATATTTAAAGAATACATATATTTATGCAGGGTGTAACCAAAATGCTTGTCCAAACTTGAATAACAGATTCTATTTCACAAATTCCTAGTGCAAATTTGACGTAAAGTATTGCGTCATTCGATCACGTGAGCAACCATTGAGATTGAGGTTCAGAATATGGACAAAAATAAATAATATGTTTAATGCATGCGCAGAACATATTAGACCAGTGCTTAAGCCTTCAAAAATGGTAGAAAGTGAAAAAAAAAATTATAGTAGAATGAAACCCATTGGAAAAGGAAGAGAATATAACAGAAATGAAAAGAAAAATAATTTACGGGCTATCTTAGGTCGGGAAGGGGAAGGGGGTGAGTTTTTAAGGGTAAAAAACGGTTTATCTTGATTTCCGGAAAAACTACAAGTCTTATGGCAAAGTTGTAGGTAATAAAAAGATCTACAACTTTTGTATTTACACTTTTTTTACATAACCTCAAAATTTATGTGAAAAATTCAAATAACCAAGTTTTTGGTTTATTTTTATCTTTTACAAATTTTTTTTTCACGAAATTTGGTGAAAACTTACCTATTTATGTCCCAAACACGCTGTAATTTTTTTGATTTGAAATATTTATTTTTTCACCTTATTTTTACTTAATATCGAAAAAGCACCCTAATTTTCAATCGAAAATTCTCACGTCAAAATATCTGCTTTTTTAAAAACGTCGGTGGGCTTTTTCTTCGTTGAAATCTCTACTTTCTGATGGTGTAAAAAAATATAT